TAGAGCCAAACAATTAAGTTAAAAAACTCAACATTCATCGAGTTGTAGGAGCAGATAACACCCAGACTTTATTCACCATAAGATAGAGCCAAACAATTAAGTTAAAAAACTCAACATTCATCAAGCTGTAGGAGCAGATAATACCCAGACTTTATTCGCCATAAGATCATAAGATAGAGCCAAACGATTTAGTTAAAAAACTCAACGTTCATCAAGCTGTAGGAGCAGATAACACCCAGACTTTATTCACCATAAGATCATAAGATAAAGCCAAACGATTAAGTTCAGAAAATTCAACATTCATTAAGCTGAATAGGCAGATGATATCCAGACTTTATTCACCATAAGATCATAAGTTAGAGCCAAACAATTAAGTTAAAAACTCAACATTCATCAAGCTAAAGAAGCGGGCGATACCCAGTCTTTATTTTTCAGAAGATGAAATGATAAAATCAAATTGTGAAGATTCAGAAGAAGAAAAAAACATTTAACGATTTAACTAAAGAATATCTGATTTTACTGATATGTACACATACATATATATACAATACTAGTAAACCTTTTGCTCATTAAAAAACAACAAAAAGAAACATGATCCTCACTGGATTATTATTGTAGAGTAACATCTACTTGTACCATATACAAACAACCGCACTACACAAAATTTTGGGGTAATTAAAGTTTATTTTCTCCTATCTGGTGGTTTCGTCCTGAAATAAAGTCGGAAAGATTACGTAAGGATGAAAAATATAAGTTTAGATCTTGACCTCTGATTGTATTTTACTCTGAAGGAAAGCTCGTTAAAAAATCGAAAACTTCCATACATGATCTGAACTAGTTCTGTGACTGTAAAGTTGTTTTACCAGTTTCTAGTTTTAGTTCATGGTTTAGTGATTTTGATAAATTTCGCCTTGTTTTTTTTTTTGTGCTAATTTAATATCTTCTCAAGATCGTTTGCTCCAGACTAATCCAGGATTACAGGTTTTGGTTGTTTTTTCATGCAACTAGTCTAATCCAAAGTATTGGATTTAGGTTAAAAAGTGGTTCAAGACCTTTAGGTCTTATTATTATTATTATTAAAAAGTGAAGCATCCGCCAAAACATTTTTCTGATAGCAATAAAATTATTAAAGTCACTGGTAGTAATGATACCGTTATTTGAAACCTGAAACTACAAAAGTACAGGAGTAATGTCAAAAACTGATAAGAAATACATTAACAATTTTATTAATGTTCACAGCATTCTTACATGCTCAAAATTAAATGTCAATTAACAGAATAAACCTTCAATGTAAAAAAAGAAATAAAATCCCACCTCATACCAAGACAAAACAATATATATATAAATATGTACCGCTCAAGGTGAAAATGTCAATTGAGGATTATGAAGAAAAGACCACAAAGTTTCAAACGTTTATTAATTTATAAGGATATATGTAACAATAAAAGTTAAAGTAACAAATTTGTATTTTAGTAACCATATCTTGCCATTTCACTTCCTCCTCCCCGAATATCGATACCTGTCGGATATCCCATTATGTAGCTTTGCGCTTAACAACAATACTTCACAAGCTATTCACTCACGTGGCGCCCTCCGGTGGTTCAGCCGTATATCACTGAGTTTATCATGTTAAAATCTCGGTTTCGATACCTGCGGTAATCAGAGAACAGATAGTCCATTTTGTGTATGAAAACAAACAAACAACCATTCAGGTGGCAAAGAAAGGGGTGCTTTTTATGGGTCAAAACTCGAGTGTAATATGTGATAACAACAGAGACTAGGTGCTTAAAATATTCGGGGCTCGGGCCCATAGTCGCGGGAATTTTCGGTGTTTTAGTATGATATTGACCATGGTTTTCGATTCTGAATTTTTTTCAGACACCAAATGAGGATTCGGGCCACTGTCAAATATAATCGGGGCACGGGCCCCGTTTGCCAGTGCCTAACGATGCCTCTACATAGAAATCTATAAAAAGGGAGTTTGCGATCCATCACTTTTATTGAAAATGTTTCACCCCTACGAGTAGCTCTAGTCACATCTGACAAACTCATAATGCATATAAAATGTTGTTTAAAAATAAGAAATGTGTCAAAACAAAATTTTCAATGTGTCCAACATAGTGTAGGTGTTGTGAAAGCCAACTTACTAAAGATAGTGTAATTTCAATATTATATTTTATTCTTTGTCTAGATATATCACGAACAGTAAATAATTTTTAAATCCTACTATAAAGTGGCACAGCGGTATGTCTGCGGACTTACAACGCTAGAATCCGGGTTTCGATACCCGTGGTGGTCAGAGCACAGATAGCCCATTGTGTAGCTTTGTGCTTAATTATAAACAAACAAATAATTTGAAAGAAGTTTTTTTGTTTGTTCTCTAACTCCGAGGCTTTTTCCTTTGGACTTATCAAATATGGTTTAATTAATTAGGAATGATTCAGAATGTGTCAAGAAGAAGTTATATTTTTCTTTTAAATTGATTTCATAGCTCCGATTATGGTTAAGTATACATCAGTCAGTGGGTGTGGCCACCAAGGGGTACTGATGGGATTCCTCCAGTTTCCTCATAACTGGTAAAACAATAATTCTACAATTGCATTTCGTTTTCAAACCCCATCATTCATTTGAGGGATTTCTTTTTAACATATTATTTATACATGCTTTCAAGATAGACGCGCTTATAACTCACACGTTACTTATAGCTTTTCGATAAAAAATACAAAATAAAATGATATTTAAATAATCAAGCCCAGTGAACATGAATAATTTGATTATGTACTTTCAATCTTTATCATTATTGGTAAACTTTGGAGAATCCTCTTCTTGGGGGTAATTAATTAATTATATATTGTTCTATTGCAAGAACTTCGAAGGTATTTATTTCTCATGCTATTTAATTACATGCAGAAATTTGAGTCATTGTTTTCTATTTTAGGAGCCTTTCTTCTCTCAGTTATATTTAACTATATGTAAACCCCCATTCATGGTCATCTTCTATCCCCCCCTCACTTACCATAAATGACTTTTTGCGTCTACAATACCTCGGAGCATGATGTGAAACAGAATATTTCCCACATCTCATATTTTTAACTTTGAGATAACTTTATTGGTTTCCAATCCATAATGTGGAATTTAAAACCTGGGAATTGGAGCAATATGAACTGAGTGTTGGTAACTAGAGCAACATAAATGTGGATATAGATGGTGGGAACTAGAGACGCGTAACTTACAGCATGGAAAATAAACATACATATCTACAACTTACAATTTGAACATTTTATTACTGTTTTTACGATACCGTTTTGTATTGGAGGAGAAAGGAGAAGGATCTCTTGCTTCCGGTGTATGCATGCCTCTGCCAAGAGAAACACGTTTCCTCCAATGTGGGAGTTTTTCGAGAGCGGTCATTCCCAATTTTTCGCTGATAATGAAAAGTCAAAATTTAATTATTTCAGTACAATATTATGCTTCCATCAAACAGAAATTACTAAATTTACTTTTGTACTGAAATATTTGCGTCCACGTTTTATATAGCCCCACACTGACAAAGCGGTATGTCTGCGGAATTACAACGTTAAAATCTGGGTTTCGATACCCGTGGTGGGCAGAGCACAGATAGCTCATTGTATAACTTTCTGCTTAACTCCAATGAAACAAACATTTTATATTGAGTGTAAGTCTGTTACAACACAGTTTACTAAGAGCATGTAATAAAAAACGTATAACTGTTTTATTAACTTTTTTTCCTTTCATTAATGAAGTACTATTAACTATTATACACAAATCGAATGCATCTCTCAATGAAGTTATTGTCAGTGGAGATATCCTCTCTATGTACATAGCAATAGAGTACCTACGTACAAATCTAGGCAGGTTTCTGTACAAATAGCCACAGACCCCAGTCAAGATGTAGCCATAGATAAAACGAAACAATGACCCTTTTCTATAAAATCAATAAATGAGTCATATAAATGATATGTTAACTTTCATAAATATTTCGTCTCCCGATGAGACATCAGTAAATTTGCTGACTTACAACGCTAAAGTCCGGGGTTCTATTCCCCCACAGCAGATAGCCCAATATGGCCTTCCTTTAAAGAAAGCAAATATAAACCTGTTACCATCCATCGCACAGACACATCTACTAGTGCTTCATATTCACAAATATTTCTGAATCAGTTACCATAAATTTGAATAAATTTCAATATTTACACGTGAATACAATATCTCAGAAATATGTGTTTTATCTTTGCTCGCTGTAACGTCAAAATACTTGTAGATGTCGTCTGTGTTTTCAATTGAGTTTAATTAACTCCAGTTTATCATAATCTGGAAATTTCAATAATAATATTTCACGTTCCACGGTTGTTCTGCGGTAAGTTTTCAAGCTTCCAGTGCTAAAATCCGAGGTTCGATATCCCACCGGAAACAGAGCACAAATAACCCAAAACAACATCCACAAAAATCAATCAAATGCGAAAATGAAGAGTTTGTTTGTTTGTTTGTAGTTTTAAGCACAAAGATATTCAACGGGCAATCTGTGCTCTGCCCACCGCGAGAATAGAAATCCGGTTTCTAGCGTTACGAGTCCGCAAACATGCCGCTGAGCCACTGGGGTCAATGAAGAGAGAAAATGTTTACATCTGCCTCCTCATACAGTTGATGTGCATATATTTCTGCTACAATTTTGATTTTGAAAACGGAAAATTAGTTCTTATTTCTAACGCCTGGCGTGACCTGATGGTTAGGATATTCGACTCGAAATATACGGGTTCAAACCTCGTCACCGAATACGCTCATCCTTTATGCTGTTATAATGTGACGGTCAATTACACTGTTCGTTGCAAGCGCATATAACCCACGAGTAGTTTTGCTCGAAATTCAACAAATATATTTCTGACAATAATAAATACGAATTTATACAGCTTTATAAAATACTCAAAAGATGGCGCAGCACGAGTAAAACTCTCCTTGTAGTCACATACTACCAGTTAGTGGTATATAGTTACGGACGTGGCTTAATTGTATGGTGCACATATTTTTCCTTCTCTTTGTACTTGTAGTAAAAAACTTAGTGGCCGCTGAACTTTCGCTAGGGGGCGGTGTACTAAAACCGGTCAGACTTTGAACAATTCAAAACTGTCGTGCATGTGGTCTTCGTTTCAGACGAATATTAGTAACCTTGTCTGCCAATGAAGTTGGACTTGTGAGTATTGGGATTCCAAGAAGACCGAGTATAACACATCAACTCGAGTAAGATTTTTTGTTTTATTAATCATTGATTATTCATCCAGAGAGTTCTTGATGCCGTATTTATTTTGTCTTTGCTGAACATGTTGATTTTTAAAATAGCGTTAAAATAAAAAGGAAAGTTTTAAATTCTGTGATTCTGATAGATTCTAGATAGTATCTGGTAATCAGACTTTATAAGTTATAGAACGGCCGTATGCATAGTTGCCATTAAGTATACACGTACTGTGACGTACATTGTAAGTTTCACGATTACACGTTAACTTCAGGAAACCAAGCCTAGAGATGTTGAAGAGGGGAACGCTACAGTAATTAGTGAATGGTTGTTACCCTACAGCGTTTTGAAGTAATTATTAAAACGTAAATCTTACTCTCCCACAGACCTCATATTTTTGTTAGGAATAGCGGATAGCAAAACGAAAAGTCTTCTGGATAGGTGAAAGTTGTTTGTTGATGGTACTATGTTTTTGCGCGTAGTAACTACTTGATGACGCAGCTTGTATTAAAAATATGCTGATGTGTCTACTTGACGGTTTTCTCGTATTTGACTTCCACACCTCAAAATATATTAAGCATGCGTAAATCTAGGCCTAAGGCGTTTCATAATTTTTATCATTTGACATTTGGTCTTGGGCAAGTAATGATCAACGACCCAATATTTAAATTAAACTTTAAAGGACACATATAGAATGTGAGCCACAACTTGGTTTGATGCAATTCTAGGGGGGGGGGGATACTTTATTGTAAAGCAAACCTAACGTGCAACACAGCTAACTCACATTGACTACTACAAACACAAAGTTCGTGACGTCATCTTTCGTCACAAATACTACTTTCATTCTTTGTTTTAATAATATAAATTGAACGATGAGTTGAGTGTAAAAACAAACAAATGAGAAACATTCATTCTTACGTAACTTAAAGTACAGCTGTTCAAATACATTTTATAGTTACAGATTAAAAAGTGTATCCTGCTGTTTGAGAACAAACATTCACAGAAATATTCGATAGTTACATTTCGTGACAACATTCCTGTCTTAGCTAGACAGGAGCTCATTAGGTCACTTTGTTTCCCGTAAACTTTGTCTTCATTGTTCTTCCGAAAATGCCATCTAGCTTATATTTTTTTTTACTAATATTGAAACCTAAAGATATGTTAAAGAATAGGGAAAGTATTTTTGATGGCATTTCAAATGCTTTGATCATTAAGTTGAACAAAGTATGTAGAACACTTCAGGTCCTTGTCAGTTACGTGACAGAAGATTTACAGAGAAAAGTACGATTATCCAGTTCAACTTCGGAATAAGTTCTAACGAGTGCAAAAATTAGTACTAGAGCCCACTGGCTAGTGTTCTGGGTTGTACCTATGTGAAGAAATGTCTTTCAAGCGTCGGAATGTGCTTCTTGTAATATAGAAGTATCGTTTGACCTTGAACTTTATTTGACTTGTAACGAGTAATCACTAAGCCTCACCAAACTGAATCTATATAATAAAGACAAGGGTAAAAGAAAAAAAAACGAAGGAAATTACACGAACGGATGAAAAAGTTTACATGGTTTCAATAATTGGCAATTAATGAAACCATGTAAACCAACTGAGTTAATAATTAAGATGTTATTAATACAGTTTTCTAATCAGTGGCTTCCCATTATTGTTCAACACTTGCTATTAAACTTCTCTGTTATCCTTTCTTGTAATTTGTTTGCTTTGTACATCTATCTTGCCTTTATTACTGCATAAAATTCCAAACTTATTCGCTTCTGTGTCTAGCATGGGCGTCCAAAGAGGGGAGATGGGCACTTGACCCCTGGAAAATGAGAAACATAATTCTTTTTTTTTATTCATTCAGCATATGTATATGAATTTTTTTTTATTCAATTCACAATTTCACACTACTTTGCCCCTCCCTGGAAAAATTTCTGCGGGCACTCCTGGTGTCTAGTGAATTTTTTTTCTTGCAAAAATGAGAAGTTGTGTAATACGTTTTAACTATATACATTTTCGTAAAATTCATTAGTTTTCCAGTAGAACGAAGTATCTTTCTTCTCTTTTAAAAAATCTATTTCAAGTAGGTAATACGTATGAAATCGCTTAACAGAAAACTGTCTCTTAGTGCTAAGTTGAAAACAACAATTCATTGTTCTCCTTTCTGTATCATGTTCAGCCAGCATTCTGTAGGTTTGTTTAAGGCAAAAGTTGCCACCTGGTTCACATATGCGAGAAAATACAAAGTGCAATGTAAACTGTAGTGCACATATACCTTTCGTTTAGATGTAGTGTGTGGAAGCGTTGATCACCACGTGCGGGTTGTTAGTTGAAAACAAGCAAGTCGAGCGTTTGGCCCAACAGAGAGCTTATGAACTACGCATGTCACAGTAAAATTATAAAAAAAGTTTACACCTTTTTGAAACATTTTTTACTTCATTTCTTCGCGGAAAATAAAAGTGAGAAGCATAGAGGAAATAATGTTTTTTGTTGGGTTTAAGTATTTGTTTGCTTGGAATTAAGCACAAAGCTACACAATGGGCTATCTGTGCTCTGCCCACCACCGGTATCGAAACCCGGTTTCTAACGGTGTAAGTCCACAGACGTACCGCTGTGCCACTGGGGGGGCGGGTTTAAGTAATGCCAGGTAATAAAGACAAACTGAATGAAACCGCGAAAGCGTTTCTTCATTTATCGAACTTGAATAAGAAAATTCAAAACACGCATATTATTTATTTACATTATACTATATGTACCAACACGGTCCAGTTTTGACTCAACAAACACTATAAATTTCAAAGTGTCAGCCCAGAATAAAACGTTGGAATATATAATATTTGTGTATTTGTATAAATAGACAAATATTACTTCTTTTTTTCTCGTTTTTTTTTTTTGTCTGAGAAAGCAGAGGGACTTCAGTATGAACTCTAAAAAAACCGTTTTCGTCACTGGGGGCGCTGGTTTCATTGGTAGCCATACAGTAGTTGAACTTCTGAATGCTGATTTTGACGTCATCGTTATTGATAATTTTGTCAATGCAGTTCATGGTAAGTCATTTTAAGTTTTCTACTTTTAACGTATTCTAAGTAAATTTCTGAGTATGATCTAACATCTCGTGCCCCTACCTTAAAGACTGATTTTGTTTAAGCGCATTATAAGTGAAACCACAAATATTATATTTGTAGCAAAAGTAATCAGTAATACATATATAATCACCTTTTATGTTTAAGTATACATATATATATTCCTGGGACGTCTTTTGTAAGTTATTAATTTTAATTTTAAACCTATGATTACTAATTGAAATAAAATATATGAAAATAAACTTTGAACAACGGTAATAGTGATCATTATGAGGTTTACAAAATATTTAACACTTATTAGCCAACCATTGGCCCCCTATGCTACAGATACAAAAACTAAACATTGTCCAACTTTCTGTTGCAGTCAGCAGTGCGTTCAAGCATTGAATGCGTTATGTAAGTTAAAATTAGTTCTGTTATTCGGTCCATAAAGTCGGACAAAGTCCTTGTGGTGGCACCTGTTACCAATTGGATGACCTTAATCTGGTCAACAGTTCACAATTGAATGGCCTTATATGACTGAACCCGAGTTGTATTTTACCTGGCTGTTTAACCCCACGTGTCGCATAAGGTACCGTTCAGGATGAAACATTCTAAGTCCATCCTTGAGAGTTGTATTAGTATTAAGAATTTTTTTGTTTGTTTCTTTAAACTATAGTGAATATCAAACTTTCCTAGCCGTAATCATTTATTTATTTTTGTTTTGTTTGTTTTTTCATTGAATTTCTTCATGAAGTTTGAGTTTCGTTTAAGATGGCTTATAGAATATCATGGTCCTGACTCAAACTTCACAATATAAAAATATTTTCGTTGATCTAATTATTTGTACAAGATTAAAACTTCCTGTATCCTTGAGATTCTCAGTACAGTTAACGGATACGGAATTAAGTAATTTTCTCACAGCATAGTTCTACTGTAGAAAAAGAAAAACTTTTCTTTTGTATCTGTACGCACAGGATCGGACGGACAAGCTCCAAGTTTAACTCGAGCTCAACAGATTACGGGAAGAAAACTGACTTTTTACCAGTGTGACTTGTTGAATAAGAACGACCTTTCAGCGATATTCAAAAAGGTAATCATTATATCATGTTGTTGTTGACTGGTAAATATGACGAGCAAAATGAGATTCTTTGTCGAGAAAAACTTTCAAGAAATAAAAATCCAAACGGAAGATGTTTCAAACATTTTTCCGTTTTATTTATTTAATTAATTTGTTTGAATGATAAAAGTTTAAGAGTTACGATACTGGAACGTTTTGTTTAATTGTATATAAACCTTTCACATTATTAAAAACACTTAATTACTACTGAAAATAAATGAATATAACCTTCGGGGGGTCAGGGGATGGGACCCCCTTAAATACCCCCCCCCCCTAAGATAATGCCGTCCAATATTTTTAGACGCCATTATTATATGTTTATAACGTCAATAATGAGGTTCTACAAAAGTAGTTCAAAAAATGTCATTAAGGTTGGGTATTACATGCAGGTCGTGACTCGTAAGGGGTTTATTCGAGATATATCGCGGTTATGAGGGTTTATTTTGTCTAAGGGAAGTTTACTAAATCTGTGTGAAGTTTGTCTTGAGTGTGAATATTAATTTGGAAAATCGCATTTTTTATTTCTTTTCTCGTGTCCTAAATATCAAATTTTAAGTTAATTCATGTAACAAAATTCTCATATTTAATAATATGCGTTAGTTTTTTTTTCGTTACGGACTCCGACGTGGC